ATTAAAAAACTGTATAGGAAAAATATATTTACTTTTTTTAAGTAAATTTTCGTGTTAAATTTTTGATTTTTTTAAAAAAAATATTTAATTACTATATTAATTTAACTTTGAATTTTTTTTTTATCTGATGTAGACTCAGAAGAGAATGAGTAGGATGTGAAAGAATAAGTCTGGGGGGCCCTAGCGAGGCACCAAAACTTAGTCTTTTGACTTATGTCTTATCTGTACATTAAGAATGCCTTCTACGTCTTATATATTACGTCTAGACTAGGCTTTGATGCCCTAAAGGAGTCCAAACTTAGCTCCTTTATATAAAAAACATAAGAGTGAAAGTAGTTTATTTTGATAAAATAGATGGTGAATGGTGAGTCGTGTATTTATAATGGGATCGTCTCATCACTCAAGCTTTTCTTAAAAGTGATTTTATATTAATTACAATGATTTTTTTTATTAATCTAACGCAGTTTTAACCGAATATCTCTGCTAAAAAAACACGTTATTATAGTTATAAATAGTGTAAAGTGAGTTTAAATAAATAAAATGTAAAGAAAGATTTTTAAAAAATTGCAAAAATGGCGAAAAATTTCGGCATTCTTTCTTAATTTCGGTGCCGTATATTGCATAATGTGGACGGGCAAAAATTACTAAAGAAATATAGAATTTATAGGTATATTGAACTTAAATTTATGTAATTAAATTAAAAAAAATTCCAGTGACATTGAAACGCGCGTGACTGACATGTCATTGTAACTCGACTGACATTAATGACCTTGAGTTATATTATTCGGCGGCAAATAATCGACATCGACACCCCAGACTAAGAAAAAAAAAAATTAAATTAAAAAAAATTTTTTTTTTAAATCAAAGAACGAATCATCGAGGTGGCGTTGTACGTTAGTAACATCTGGATGAAGTGCCGTCCTAAAGATTCATGTAGTTCATTGGTGTGTGTGTGCTTTGATAACATATTATATATATACATATATAACGATTGATTCTTGGTTTTAAACGTATTATAATAAGGATGAATATATAAAATAGACATGAATAATCGTATTTCGTTAACGTTATTACGCAAATATTCGTCATTCCTTAAAGGTGAGAGGATCGGTCGACAGGTATTTTGAGTTTTGCACAAGTTACAAACTGTAAGCCGCGTGCAAAATAGGCTTAAAAAGTACGTACCGAGTGCAAAAAGAAGGTTGGAAATTTTAACAAAAGAATCTATATATATGTATACATATATATAGGTTCATATACATTAAGTACTTATCTGAATATTCGTATATAACAGATAGGCAGATACATCATTGGTTTATCCGTAAGTATCAAGCTTAATTAAGAATTGTAGAGTTAAATTTCAACAAATTTAACATGAAAAATCGAATTTCTAAACTTTTCTACTTAATACAATTTGAATTGTGTATGTAAATAATAATTGCTTGTGTCTAAATAACACAAATTCTATTGTTTCTGTTCATTCATTCAATGTTTGGATGCTGTGTCGAAGGCCTGGTCTTAATCTGTTAAATTTATTTAATTTTTTTTTTTTAATGTTTCAATCAATCTTATCCTTTATCTGATTCTATACTTTGATTCTGTTTCACTCATTTTAATTTACATTGTGATAAGCATATTGGGCCAAGGACTTGTTGTATAAACTGTGAGATTGTCCTTTATGTTGTAATTTGAGTAATAAGTTTATTTTGAATTATCTCTTTGGCACCGAGGGGGATGATGATCTTAAATTCTTAATTTGCCAAGGAAAAGTTAAATTAACGTTAGAAAAAAATATATATTGTTTAATTTGTTATGATGATCAATGTTTTTTTGTGGTAATTGGATTTCTAGGACTATTGGGAGCAGAAACCTGTAAGCCTGCTACTATAACTAGCTTTATATTAGCTTTTTAATTAAAATGATAGATGTAAATTGATTTCTAAATGTTATAGATGTGAATTATTTAGTATTAGTCAATTTAGTACAATTAGCTTGAATAGTAATGTTGAAAATGAATAATAATATCATTAGGTGATTTGGTTCTTTATGTATGTGTAAAAGGAAATTTATAATTTCTGATTATTATTCTGTTTCGTGGTAATATTTAAGTGTTACGATTACTCAAGATGTTTATAAAAATATGCATTTCCTTTCTAGATTTGTATTGATAAATTCTTGAAAACATGAGTAAGGATTTCTTGCTATAACATACTTTTTTTAGCCAGTTTGGATGTAAACTGCATTTTAAGTATTGTATGACACTACTTTTTAACCAATTTACAGAGTTTAATTAAATTATCATCATTTATTGATAGAGATTGAGTTATTTATGCCTTCATAAATCTATTTTTAAGAATACATCTTAATACAAGTAAAACTCATTGAAATTTTTGGTATACCAAAATTTATATTTATCAAGTTATTAAATATAATAATGTATATTTGAGTGGTTGGTAGATTTGATTTATTAAAGTTCTTTTGTTTGTATAAAATTTACTAGGTCAGTATCGTGTTAAATTGATTTAAATTTATTGATTCAAAAATTGGGATTGCAAGCATTAAGTTGATTGACATATAAAATTTATATTATTAAAATTAAATATCACTCAAGGCCCCACACCATATAGTCCAGTGAAAAGAACTACCTTTTACACAGAAAAGGATATCATTCTTTTAGTTTAAAGTAATTTTGTAAAATGATAAATTGGGAAGATATGTTAAGAGTATTTTATATATATATAGAAACCTGATTTTATTTTAACATATAATAATTTTAGAGATTTAAAAATACATCTGCTTAAAATATTTAAGTATCGCCTCGCAAAGTTAAACAGTTACATTAATAAGTATAATAAAAGTTTTATTATTCATTTTTATGGAATATTAAGCAGTTTTTGTAAGCATTTAATTTTGTTTTTTTTTCTATTCTTTTGAAGTTACATTTCTTTTCAAGTTACATTTTTTTCATAAATTCTAAGATGAAATTGTTTTAATATTTTTTGATTTTTAGTAGATCAAATTTGACAAAAACAATTTATTCTTTGTTTAACATTATTATATTATTAAAAATTCTTTTAAGGTATACTCGTTTAATCGAAACCTTATGTATATCAATTTTAACAGAACCAATTTTACTCAAATGACAATGTTTTTTATTATTTATTTTGATTACATTTACAATTTAGGATCAGGAAACTTAGCTAGTCTCTTTCAGATTATTTTTGTACTTAGTGTTTTAATTACAATTTTATTTTTTAACATAATTTGTTCTTCAGTTTATTGTACTTTCTAACATATTAAGGATTTAATTTAAGTAATGCTATTGTGTTAAACTATATTAATTATTGGATATTTCATTGGATCGTTCGTGGAATTTATCTTTTTATTGATTTCAATTGAATTTATGATCTGCTGCAATGATTCATATTGGAGATCGGAATTTTTCAGTGTTAGTTATCAAATTTCCTTAACAAGTGTTAGTGTCGTGCTTTTAATATATATATGTTTTCGCTTAAACTATGAGCCAATTTTGCTCTAGATTGTATTTTTCTTGCGATTATTTATTTTTTTTTCAAATAATCTTATATATTTATAATGTTTTTTCCCCATTTTCACTTTCTTGGAGATCAGAAATGAAAAATACCCCATTTAGCACTCCTTAAATACCACTGTAGATGGGCCGAGGATCACTAAAGAATTGAGATTTAAGTGAAATGTTATTTTGTTTTTGATCTCTAAGAAAGCAGAGATGTGATTTAAGATATTTGGAGAGATTAATTAATTTGATGATAATATTTAAATTCATCAAAATAAATTACTGTACTTTCATCTTATATCTCTGATAATTATGGTAATTTGTACAGTTTACAAAGAATAAACTGTAGTGACAAATTGTCACGTGTTGTACAGTACTTGCCATTCAAACAGTCAGTCAGTCTTATGATAATATTAGCTTTGGTTAATAATGAAAAATTTACTTTATCATCATATTTTATTAACTTATAACAAAATAAGTTTGATATATTGATTTTTGTATTATATAAATTGGCAAAGGGGTGGCGACCAAGAGGTGCTGTTATGTTTGTCCACTATTTTGACTCTTAGCCATCCCTTTTAATTGTATATAAATTGTTTTTACTAAATTTTTATGCATATGATATGCAAAACATGTCTAGATAGCAACCATCAGTATGATGAAATTGCAAATTACTGAATGACACTATCATTTGTAAATTGTCATCACAAAGTTTCAGTTTTATCCAGACAGATTTTTCAATAGGATTGTGACTCGTTTAAAATATATGAAATGAGAGCAAAGATTTATGCTATTCTTTTTGTTATATTAATTTCTAGATTAAAATACTTTCGAAATGATCTTTGTTTGTTTTTACAATGCACTAATTACTTTTTTAAAAAGAAAAAAGGGATGTTTTTGGTGAAATTAAGCTAAAAATGGAGATGAAGTAGTACAAAAATTATACTTAATTGGTTGATCTGCAGTAGTTGTAATACTAAATTTTATGATGCTTAACATGTTAGCAAACCTTAGTTCTTCTTTATATCCTAGAAATGAAGAATTAAATTAATACTAGCGAAAGTACATTGTTTAATTTTGTAAATATGTCAAGAGTTTATTATATTCAGTATTGAAAACAAGCTGTCAAATAACAGATTTTAGTTGATTTTGTTCCTAAAATGGTGATATTTGTTTTAAAGTGTTTGTTGTATAAATTAACGTAAAAAGATAATATAATTTATTTAAATGATATGTTTTGATGTTATAAGTTCTTAAAACACTCGAATTCTAGTATAATATTGCTTTTAAATATTATAACTAATAAATTAAGCTTTATTATTATTATTATAATTAATCATTATTATTAATTTTATACTGTATTTACATTTCTTTCTTTATTTTTTAACTTTTTATTTTATTCTATTTTCATAACTTCTAAGGTTCAGTTCTAACATTTAAGTTGTTTATTCTGAAATGGTTAAGTCTATATCATTCTATACAAATGTAACCAACATTTGATTTGTATTTTCTAGGAGTCTTACTGCCATGGGTATGACTCTTAGAGCACTGCCCATTGATACATCCCTTTTCTATCAGGAGACCTGTGCGAATGAATAGTGGTATAATTCCTAGAAAAGCAAAACCATTAATGCAGTTCCTTATGGAGATGATATTCAATTTGTATTTTCCTCCTGCGGAAGGTCAGTAAAGTATAGCCAAAAACATTAGAAATGAAAGTGGTTAATGCAATTATTAAGGTTTATTGGAGTGCTTTTAAATATTAGTACATAGATTAGTTTTTCCATTTTTAGAGCATTCGTTCATAACTTACAAATGTTAGTAAATTTTAACTAAGTATCATTTTATTTTATTTACCTGTGTGCAATTTGAAGATCTCCAATGCTGAATTTATTTAGTTAGAGCANACTCTTAGAGCACTGCCCATTGATACATCCCTTTTCTATCAGGAGACCTGTGCGAATGAATAGTGGTATAATTCCTAGAAAAGCAAAACCATTAATGCAGTTCCTTATGGAGATGATATTCAATTTGTATTTTCCTCCTGCGGAAGGTCAGTAAAGTATAGCCAAAAACATTAGAAATGAAAGTGGTTAATGCAATTATTAAGGTTTATTGGAGTGCTTTTAAATATTAGTACATAGATTAGTTTTTCCATTTTTAGAGCATTCGTTCATAACTTACAAATGTTAGTAAATTTTAACTAAGTATCATTTTATTTTATTTACCTGTGTGCAATTTGAAGATCTCCAATGCTGAATTTATTTAGTTAGAGCATAAATATTCAGAAATGGTGCTTTCGTGCTTTCATATTCATATGGAATGGGAAAGTTTTGTCAGTTATTATTGCAAGAAAATGTGTTAAAGCATACAGAATTGCTTAGACTGTCTTATCAAAATATATTGCTATATTAATTTTGCTTCCAAATTTTATAGTATTTTATTAAAGTTATGAGCTGTATTAATGACAAATGCACAAGTCTTTATTATCTATTCGATATTTTAAATAGCACATTCATAACAGTTTTCTTCTGTAGTTAATAAAAAGTAAATCATATGATCAGATATAATAAAATGTTAATGTAATTGATTTAATGATTGTATTGATGCTAATATAAAAATATAAGATAATATTGCTTGAATGATGAATCATGGCCACATGTTATAATAAAATCAAGACACAAACAATAAATATGTTTGCTTAAATAATAGAGATAAATTACTATTGTTTTATATTATGCAAACATTAAATTTGCCATTAGCAATTGAAGAAGATTTGGACTAAT